TATCTGCTTTTAAGGCGTCAGGGAATCAGGTTCTATCATACCTTCGGACCATGGGTGGCTTTTCTTCCCGTTGCTCGATCACTTCTTCCACAAAGTTGGGCTCTTGGTTGGCCACCTTGTGCCTAGCGGGCATCTTCATTCTTGGAGGCATTTTTTCAAATTTTTAGGGTTTTAGGGCAAGAAAAGCTTGGGTTTTTTTGGTAAAAATGTGAGAAATGGGGTGAGAATGTGTTTAGGATGCTTGATTTTGGGTAGAAACTAAGAAAAGATTGGTTTTGGAAGCTTGGGTAGTGAAGAGTCGCCCTAGTGTTTGAAGGATTTCAAGGGTTTTGGGTAGTTTTGAAATGGAGAAGACAAACCAAGTATTTATACCCAAGAAGCCAACGTTTGAACATGAATGACGTTCGAATGTGTATAGAAGGAATTTAAAAAGATGGTTCGAACTTTAAACTGTCGTTCGAATTGCAATTGTTCCTAATACTTTTAATGTCCTGCAAAGACCAAAGTACTGTGAGCTCCTAGCGTTTAAATGTTGGTGTGGCATTCGAACGTTAGGTCCTAGTTCAAACTTTAATCAGGCGTTTGAACATTTGGTGCTCCTAGTACTTTTGATGTCCTGCAGAGGCCAAAGTACTATAAGCAGCCAACGTTCGAACGTTAATTGGCGTTCGAACACCAAATTAAAAATCACAATTTTATGCATATTTATATACACATTAAAAAAAATGCTATATACACAAATTGAACTTGAAAAATCATGGCGTCTGAGGATAAGTCCCTAACAAGAATATAACTTCATTGGTATTTTTGGACATTCCTTACTTGACCCACATTTTTATTTCAAATAAATTTTGTACAATTAACAAATAGATATTTACACTTTTTACAAAAAAATTCGGACCTTTGACTTTCATCCCAAAAACATTCTTTTTCTAGTTTTGTCAAGAAACATTCTAATCTGAGTCTTGTCTTCTCTCCATGTCATTCAAACAATTAGTGACTCTTCTAATTTTTTGTTACAAAAAATGTGTAAGTACAGTATCGAAATAGCATGGCGTGCTATTATAATCCTTACTCTGCCCATTCACTATCCAGTCTAATTGATCGAGTGCGCGACCTAAAATTGATTCAGAACACTAGTTATATTCCTTTATGTGAAAGATTCTACCACATTGTTTACATGCACCAAGTCTTTTGGCAAGACGACGTTTAGCAAAAGTGCTTCTGCCACACAGTAATTTCGCTTGTTCTTCTCAGATTTCAATTTTTCTCACCAATCTTGTCTTTCTCATTATCACATAATGAACATCAGATGGAAAAGTAAAATGCTTAAACTGAACCAAAAAATCTTACTAACCATGCTTGTTACGCTTGAGACACTCTATCTGGTTCTTTTACGTCTGTCAGTTACAAAGACGATTGAAGCTGCTTTAAAGACATGATTATCAAAAAAAATTTTGTTTTTATATATTCTATAAAGACTGTATAAATACAAAATACAAGACAGAATATGCAATATGATCAAGAAATTTTATTTTTTTTTAAAGCACAAAATATGAACTTTAGTTCTCACCCCCAACCTAAACTCAACATTGTCTCCAATGTTTCGAAATTACTAGTATATGCAAAGTGAAGTTAGGCTTGAAAGTAGAAATATATTCATCTGTCAATGCCTAGAAACAAAATACACAAATTAATCATCTTTACAAAGATCAGGGTTTCGGCTAGGATGGAAACCTTTGTGCATGGGTGTAAACAAAAGCAGGACACCTATGAGCAAGTATAGAATTAAAATGCAAAACATGAAACAAATGATTGTATCAATGGAGTGTGTGGCCATGGAGTTGCAGAAAGTGAGTCATTTGAAGAGAAAAAGGGAATAAGAAGAAGAAAAGAAGAACGGTGGATGAGGAAAAAGGGGCTAGGGTTGGAGGCCGTATAAAGGTGTCCTTTCGAGTCGGGTTGGGTTAGATTTTTCGTCCTGACCCATCTTGTTCATCCAACTTAATCCCCTCCTCACCTATTTGAAAAATCTGACTCAGGGTTAGAGTACCCACCATATATAGCAGACCCAGAATGTCAGTGGGTATAGGAGTACTGCCCAGACTCATCCATTAATTGCATCCCCACGGGAGTAGAACATTCACCCATCAACTCGAAAGTTAAAAATGTCAAGTTGACTATCTCTTGCCTGAGTAACACAGTGTAAGAAATGGTAGTGGTGGTTAGGCACCCCCGGTCTGACTAATGTCTATTATAGCATTGATGTCCTCCTTCTCCACATACAAAGCAACACTAGTCATGTTGGGGTTGTCGACTACTACATTAACCAAAGAAATAACAAGTTCATTGTTCCCAATTTTCAGTCCGACAAATGTATTCATGTTTAGTCCTGATCTTAGTGTAAATGGATATCTACATGTCAACCTCAACTTGTAATGCGACATGTCCAATCCCATTACAGTGTAAATTTTACTCAACTCCGATAATTTTATACCACTATTTATAAAAATTTCAACTTTGGGAGGAGAATTGAAGAATAAACCCTCTAATCCATATTTCATTCATCCGCCCCAATATAACAAAATAGTAACTTGTTTTCCCGCCATTTTAAATAAATTACGTATTGAAATAAGTACTGAATTCACAAGAACTTGGGGATGGATAGAAAAGGTTAATACTTGAGGAAAAACAGATCCATAGTTAAGCAAAGTCCCATGGAATTTAACGCATGCGACATACAAGAATTGATAAAATAAGAAACCTTGGAGTTAGAAGTGTAGAGCTAGCAAACTAAGAAACCTGGAGATCAATCCAATACCAGGAAGTGTGATAAAATAATTCCCAAAAGAGGGTAGATTTTAACATGTTATCAAAAATTCAATTTGTTATCAGGAAGGCCAACAATGTAGTCAATCTTTTTGCTAACAAGGAAGTAATTGATTAATGTTTATAACTTTATTGCAATTATCAAGACTTTCTAACTCAAGAATAACAGTACTTTCTAACTTTACCGCAATAATCAAGATGTTTATTTTGAGAAAAATGGTGTTGCTTGAAGACTGAGAGACATAACTACAATGCTTATATTGAGAGCGAGAGAGAGAGAGAAATGCTTTTGCAAAATGGTGTTGCTCGGAAATTTATGGAAATTTTATGGAACTTTAAACTTATACCAAATCTCAAAAAAATTATGAAAATTTTAAGTTACACAATTTTAATTTAAAGTTAATCTTAATTATTATTATATTCTTTTAAATTAAAAATTCAACTTCCTATAGAAATATTAGATAGATTTAATTGTGATTACAAAATAATAAATAAAATAAGAATAATTATTTGAGTCTCAGTAGTCATCGGCAATGTAAACCCACCAAAACTCCAATACCCCACCACAACTCCAACTAATTTACAATGCATCTATGAAAAAGAAATTACAACCAATAACATTTTCAAGCAAAATTTACATCTAATTTACAACTATTTTACAACTAATACAATTTTCAAAGAAAAAAATTTACAAGTGATTTATGAATAAAATGATGTTGTTAGTAGAGAGATATACAGAGAGTGAGAAAGATAGAATGAGAAAGGGATAGACAGTGAGATAGAGAGATACATAGAGTGGGAGAGATATAATAAGGAAGACCTACTCGGCTTAGATGAGTGCTGGTTGAAGTAGCTGAGGCAGTGGAGGAAGAGTGGTGGTTGTGGCAACTCCGATGGACTTCACTCAGTTGGGTTCCTGTCGATTGGGGTTTTCGAATTGAAGGGTGGTGGAGTTTATTGGGTTTCGATTGAAGGGTGGGTTTCAGACGGTGGGTTGGGTTTGGTGGAGATTTCGCAGGTGGTGGTGGTGGTGGATTGGAGATCTCGTAGGGGTGATCAGATTTCAGGTTAGGGCTCAGAAAGGAAAAGAGGAAAAATGAGGGAGAAGGAAAGAAGAGGGAAAATGGTTTAATTTAATATTAAAAATGTCAATCCAAATAACATTTTTATAAAGACACCTCGGTTAAATTGACGTTTGCATTGTAAGCGAAGATTTAGGTCATCTTAAAAAAGTTTTTCCAACTAACATTTTAGCTGTAAAAATATCATTTCAATTGATGTTTTTAAAAGTATATGAATTTGAAAAATACTTTTAAAACTCGCTTGCTTTTGGGTATAAACTCCCAAAACCGCCTGATTTTGTGTAAAAGCTCGAGACAACTGCCCAGATTGGCCGTTGATGGGGTGTGACTTGATCGCGGCTTAGGTGTTTCGATGTCAGGATTGCTAAGGTGCAAGAGTCAAAAACAAGTGTGAAGTAGGGAAAAAACAAAGATTTTATTAACTTTATCAGTGTATGAACTTTATTGTGCATTTTCCTAAATTTATTGAATTTTATCAACATGCGTCTGTATGGATGCAATTTATATCCTATGTAATTATAGGATAATGCTACGTTTACTAATAAATTAAATTAGAAAAGAGACCAAAAGATGTGAAAAGGATAAACAAACGAACAAACTTTTACTTGTATAAGCTCTGAAAAATTTAGACTTTAGCAAAGTATATGTTAAAATGGAATAAAATATGAATTATAAATAAATTAAAAGTGAGACTAAAAATATCAAAATATCTGTCTCACATTATTTTTTCTTTTTTTTTGTTTTATTGTTTGGTCAACCTTTTTTATGTTTTATTGTTTAGTCAATCTCACACAATCACAATTTAAGTGCAACGATATTGTTATTTTTCAGCCCAACAAAAAAAATTACATCGATTTGGATTACATTTATTAACTAAATCAATTAGCATAGTTGATTAGCAATGAATTTAAATATTAGATGTAGTTTACTAACAATCTAATAATAATGATGCATTTGACCAGCAAAAATTGATCCAACAAATATTTCTCATCCAACAAATTTGCGGGTGAAATCCAATTTGATCTAAAAATGATAAATACTGAAATTGTGGGCTGGGCCGCCGATTCCTGAAGTTTCCACAACGTTCCTGGAAAGAACCTCCAGAAATTTCCACCTTCTTCCCACTTTATCCAGAAACATCTAGTTCTGTCCTCCCAACCAACCTATAAATCATCCACATGTGGCAATCAATACCATCAAACGCCTACGAAAACAAGGTCTGAGTACAAAATCTTACGCCCACTTCCAAATTACGCCCAATCAAGAAGAGAAAATGGATATCAGGCTGATGGGTTTCGACAACCCCATCTTCCACACCCTCCAACACATGATGGACGGCGCCGACGCCGACGTCGACAAGTCCAGCGGCCCTACACGCGCATATGTCCGTGACGCGAAAGCAATGGCAGCAACACCGGCAGACGTGATAGAGTATCCCAAGTCCTATGCCTTCATAATTGACATGCCCGGGTTGAAGAGTGGGGACATCAAGGTTCAGGTTGAGGACGACAACGTGTTGGTTATCAGTGGAGAGAGAAAGAGGGAGGAGGATAAAGAAGGCTCAAAGTTTGTGAGGATGGAGAGGAGGATTGGAAAGTTCATGAGGAAGTTTGTGCTGCCTGAGAATGCTAACACTGACGCCATCTCTGCGGTTTGTCAGGATGGTGTGTTGAATGTTACTGTTGAGAAGTTGCCTCCTCCGGAGCCCAAGAAGCCCAAGACCATTGAGGTCAAGATCGCTTGAGATCTTTCACAGCTATAATCTCTGTCAGCTCTGTTATTCCTGTGGTTAGTCGTAATAATGTGGTTTTTGAGTCGGATGTTTTTTATGGTGTGTTTATGTTTTCTGGGTTTTTGTGTTTTGGAATCAATAGCTTTTTGGTGTGAAAAGCTGATGATCAGTAGCAGTGAAATGTTATCAATGAAATGAATGGAATATGTTTTTGAAAGCTTGATGTCTCTTATCTATATATAACTTCAGTTTGTTCCATGAAATTGTTTGACCTTTGGGAAGATGTGGAGAGGAAAATACTGACATAATGTGAGCATTCGGATATATATTATCTTGTTCCCTTCCTTGTCCGCAATGAATTGTTGGGGGTTTTTTGGTTGATAGTGAAGAAATGTTATAATGTGAGACTTCAGTTGTAAGTATTAAAATTCTGGAATTAATAAGGTTTTTAAATTACGATACCCAAATCAAGTGAAAATTGATTAGGTCCAACAACTCCCTCCCTAGACTCGTGCATATGATACTCGGTTATGGATTAACTTCAATTGAAAATTCCCAAATCTACCCAACGTTAACTCTAAAGCCCAATGTGGCTGTAGGGCTTTGAGAGTAATTATTCATTTATTTGTCGTTGTAGACAAGGTGGGTTCTTCTGTGTGGAGCAATTTACTTTGAAAAATTGATCTGTGTACCTTTCGGAATTCCAATGGAAAATTTGTTATTCGGAATAAATCTCTATTCATGGTTATGGCAGGGATGTATAATTGCTCCCATTGGTTTTATGTGATTTTCAGTAAATGGCTTTCTGTTACGTAGGCTGATGACCAACTAATGATTAAATAGTGGTTTGTTATATAACATTGTGTTATTTTAATTCTTCACGGGTGTTTTACTTGATTCCACTCAAGGGGTTATTTTGTTCCTCCTATTTAGTCCCTTGCGTTTCTAAAATTGCCCCTTGATTGTAATCAAAATCAAATGATTATCTTCTTTAGTCACTTTAAACGTCATTTTCAATTAGATCAAAGTGATATAAATTGAATATTTGAAAGATCAAACTAGCATTATTGAGAGCTTGAAGACCAAACTAACCCAGAGCACATTATTTGGAGACTACATTTTATGTTAATGTTATATCAATGAAACATCTAAATTTTTTACCATTGATTCATTCTCTGGCCATTTTTAGCATTGACTATCCCATGACAGATTTCTAGAAACGCAGAAATACCCATTGAGATCTAGGCTTTCACTTAATCAGTGCCCCGGGAGATAACAAAAAATCATTTGAATCAAGTCATTTAAGTTCATAACTACAACCAGCAATCATTTGCAAACCAGGTTCTGTGGTCAGAGATGAGAAAAGACCAGCTAGGACACTACTCATCTCTTATTCGACCACTAAACAAACTAGTGCATGTTGGGTCTTTGGCTTGTTGAAGCAAGCTACTTAGTTGGAGTTGTTGCCTGTCTCAGAAATTTCTTTTTCTGGACTTCCAACTGTTTCGGATATTAAACTAATGGCTAGAAGAAAACGTATTCCTCTGCTGCTTATATCCAGATGTATAATGGTTGGGAAGAAAGAAAACTACTTGGCATCTGCCATTAGCACCAAAGAAAGCCAGATTAAAAATATCACTTTCAAAATCTTCAAACATTCAGTATCATACACAGTTTCACTCCAGGGAAATGGATTAATCAAGGAGATCAACGAATAATATCCCACACACAGCATTGAGAAATTCTGAGTCCAAAGGCATAATTCAACTTTTGCACCTTGCCCGTTTCTGCACACCTAACTGGGAATAAAAGAGCATCCTCGACAATTTGGTAAAGAGGAAGTTTACAGGTCTCTGTCTCCATTTAAATTTCTCTCTGCAGAAAACACTCGAAGTGCTTTGTCCAGTTCTTATTGGTTTTCTGACATGACAATTATCCTTCCTGACAAACAAAGCAATGAAGAAGCCTTCTTTGTCCTCAGCTTGATCAGTCCGGAGCAAATGTTGGGCTGAAAGTCCAGGTAAAATATCCATTAATCATTAAAGCTTTCCTCTAATGATGGAAACGAATGACTATTGGCCACCTTACTGTATTTTATGGTGATATTTTGAAAACAGAGAAATGAAATAAGTCAGGTGAGGGATGAAAGAACGATCAGTTACAATAAACTTCCAACATCATTCTGACCTAAAAAACTAATTTCCAGTGAAGTTGGAAACAAGATTTGGTTCAAACCATCACTGAGGACAACATTGAAGTCCAAGAGTAGTACATAGAATGCATAAAACATCAATAGATGCTATTTTGCTGTGCAGATGCACACTTAAGAAACAGAAAACCATTTTTTATGGCTAAATGTCAATATTTCAGAACAGCACTTACAGCCCTCAACAACTGGGAGACCACGCCTGGGCCACTGGGGAAAGGGTGTTGCGAGTTGAAATCCATAAGATGCAGCAAGAGGTAGAACAGATTTGATAACATCTTCATTCTCAGTTTGGTGGATGGAGCATGTGCTGTAAACAACTCTCTCAACTGCTGGAACTACAAAGGATGTGGAAGGATCACGATTTTTGCTTAAATTACCCTTATCCAACAAGAATATGGTGCATTATAAGTTGCATTAAAAAAATAATACTCAAAGACCGAGGGTGTAATCTTAAAGAAGAATGTTAGTAATTTCGATATTTTTATTTTTTTTTTTAATTTTGTTAGGATTGGAATTTAATTAAGATTTAAGAGATTCCCGTTTCTTTATGTAGAATACACACAAACTTGAGACTCATGCATTGGACTGCCCTTTAACTCTAAAAGATGGTATTATTGAATTAATGAAAAGTTCTCTAATAGCAATCTTATCTATACTACTAATAAAAGTGGTTTAAGTGAAAAACTTTTGATTTCCTTATTTATCCTTCAATAATTTTATAATGTCTACTTTATCCTTTTTAAAGTCGCTTAAGAGAAAAACTTTTGATTTTCTTATTTATCCTTAAAAAATTATATGTCTACTTTATTCTTTTTTGAGGAATTTTTTATTTTTTTATTAGTTGAATTAATTCAACTAATAAATTCATTGTCTGACTTTTGATTATCTTCTTTTCAAACAATATAAATTTGATCCAATCAACATCTAAGAAACCTTCAACTTTAAGATGTTCATTAGTTCGATATAACAACCCAAGGCCAAGAGCACGTTTGAAATATCGCAGAATACGAGTACCTGTCTCCCAATGTGGTACTCTACGACATCCCATAAACTGACTTACCATACTAACTGCACAAAAAATATCTGGTCAAGTAATAGTGAGATAATTGAGTTTTTCAACCAACTTGCAATACCGAACCAGATTCTCAAACAGTGCATCATCCATCAACAGTTTCTGATTCGGATTCATATGAACATCACTTGGTTTACCACCCAGCAAACATGTTTCCTCTAGCATGTCAAATATATATTTTCTCTAGGATAAACAAATACCCTGTTTAGATCGAGTCACCTCAATACCTAAGAAATACCGAGTTTTTCCAAATCCGTATTATGAAATCAATCTTGCAGGAAGGTTTTAAACTTCTTGGCAATCCCCTCAGGATCATTTTCAATAATCACAATATCATCTACATAAACCACCAGTAGAACATATCCCACATCCGTCTGTCTATGAAACACAGAATAGTCAGTCTGATATCAAAGAAGACCAAACTCTAAAACTGCATCTGAAAACTTACCAAACTATGGCCTCGATAACTACTTCAAACCATATAAATTTCTTTAACCGACATATACTCTTACCGTACTCCTCCTAAGCAATAAATTCAGGTGGCTGCTCTATGTATACCTTCTCAACCTAATCACCATGTAAGAAGGCATTCTTGACATCCAACTGAAACAAGAGCTAATCAAGATTAGAAGCCAAAGAAATCAAGATATGAACAAAGGAGATTTTGGTAACAGAAGAGAGTCTCCTCATAATCAACACTATAGATCTAAGTAAAGCCCTTTGTAACAAGACGGGCTTTGAGAAATTCCACAGAACCATCCAGATGAAATTTAACAGTATATACCCAACGACAACCAACAGTTTGTTTACCAGGAGGTAAAAGAACAAGATCTCAAATCCCATTATAATATAAGGCATCCTTCTCCTTCTCCATAACTTTCCTCCAACCCGGATCAGATAACGCATCTTATAAGTACTTAGAGATAGATATAATAAATATTTGAGAGGTAAAACAAGAGAAGACAAGAGACAAGGCATTTATATGAAACAAAATGAGCAATGGGATGATTAGTAACACACAAACGAGTACCTTTTCGAAGAGTAATAATAGGTAAAGAGTCTAAATTACCTGATGTACCAGGATCACAAGAAGGCATGGAAGACGATACAGGCACCTCAGTCGATGGTTGAGGATGACAAGAGTGAAAACATCTAGGGAGCTTAAAAACAAACCCTAGACTCCCTAAATCCAAAAAGCCATAAATCTACCTTCATTAAACTTCTACTTAAACTTTTGATTTACATGAGATAGAAAGATTATGTTTCTACCCACAATAGAAGAAGGATCTTAAGAGGATTCAAAGGGTGGATCATGGAGTTTGGTTGCTATAGGGGATTTGTCTCTAATTGGTTTAATTAAATAATTAGTTGAATTAGGTTTTGAATTGGGTATAAAAATTTACCATGTCGAGGACATTCCATACAGCACTCTCAATTGGTAACAAAGCTTGGTACCCCCGAGAGATCTTGACCTAGAATATTTTGATTATTTGAGTTTCCTCATAACTCCAATTGTCATTGATGGACACTCAATGTGAAGGAGAGCGAATTTGAAATAACCTTTGTTTGACTGAACCAACAACACCTATTGGAAGGCTAGGATGAGAGTGTTCCTCGAGTCTAGCCAAGAGTGTGTGTGGTTGGCCACCCACATCAGATGGAAAACACCCACCGAGGCCCGTGAAACCATTAAACCGTTCAACAAATGGACTAAGGACAACCATGAGACAAGTATTTGGAATTTCAAAGGCCTAAAAGCGATATTTAGTGCCCATACAATGAATAAGTTCTAAAAAAATCTCCACTCCTGAGAATTCCAATGAAGCTTGGGATATTTTAGAGGTTTCCCACGAGGGAACGAGTAAAATAAAGAAGTCTAGGCTCCAATCTCCATTTGAGGGACTTGGGATGAAGGCTAATGAGACATAGACCAAGGTTTATGCACGTTTCAATGGCATAATAAATTCTTCGTTCGGCCTAAGACGTACGATAATGCAACCTTGATTTGAAAGGTTTTAAGATCTCTATCTAAGATTCCAAGCCAAAGTTACAGTCATTGAAATGAGTCAAGATGTAGAGGAACTCAAAGTAGTAGACATAATTGGGTCTCTGCTTACATACAAGATGAATTTTCGTTAACCCAAAAAGTCCAAAAACATTGTTTTGAGTTTCATTA